AGATGTTAATAACAGTGCATTAGTCCACTATGCTTCCAAGGCTATTTGTGGAATTGGTGGTGCATGAATTGGTGCCAATGTCTGAGGCTGTTCTAGAGCAGGAAAGTCCAGGCTGACTGTGAGAGTTATTCCCATTTTTCAAGGAGAGATCCTCTAAGCCGGGTATTTGCAACCTGTGGCTCTGGAGCCACATGTGGCTCTTTGGTCCCCCTGTTGTGGCTCCCTGTCGGCTGAACCAACCACTGGCTGGCCCCTCGCCCTCCCCTCCCAGTCACTCCTTGCCTGTCCTGAGAAGTTAAGGGCGATGGCAGGCAATGGAGACTTGCTCCATATTCCAGAGTGGGAGTAAAGTTCCCCTGTACTTACAGGTACTTGCAGGTGCTTCTTTCGGTCCTTGTTGGTGCTGCACATATCTTGGTCATTTGGGGAGATGCGTCACTTGCTCTCTGCCCCGAGACACTGGCTCAGCCTGGCTGCAGCCGACACCACTCCTGTTGCCACCTCCATAGCCTGCCCGCTGCTCTCACAGCGCCTTGCACATCCCAGTTAAATTTAGCGCACTTTACAATGGGGGAGATGGTGTCCCCTCCTCCTCCTGGAGCCCATTACAATGCAGAGCATCGGTCGCAACTAGGCTGGGCCAGTGTCTTGTAGTGGAGAGCAAATTGTGCCTCTCCCCAAGCGACCGAGGTGCGCGCAGCACCAACAAGGGCCGGAAGAAGTGCCTGCGAGATATGGCAAGTACAGGGGTACTTCACTCCTGCTCTGGAATATGCAGAGAGTCTCCATTCCCTGCCATCACCCTTACCTTCTCAGGCCAGGTGAGGAGGGACTGGGAGGGGAGGGCGAGGGGCCAGCCAGTGGTTGGTTTAGCTGACAGGGAGCAGGGGGACAAAAGAACCGCATGTGGCTCTGGAGCCGCAGGTTGCAGACACCCGGTTTAGAGGATCGCTCTTTGAAAAATGGGAAGTGTGGGAGCTGCTTTGAGCTTCCAGAGAAGAAGTTGGGGTATAAATCTATCCTCACTTTCATCTCATCTTCATCTCCTCGCTGCTTTTGTAGGAGGAAGAGGAAGGGCAGATCTTAACAGCCCTCCGGGGTAAGCCAGGCAGATGAGCTAATTCTACTTTATTGTAAAGCTACATTCACAGACTCTTGCAAGTCTGAAAGTACAACTTTCTGCTGCCATTTTTAACCATCTGTTCAGTTAGGGAGGGTTCATCCTCAGTTTCTTTTTCTGACTGTTACCTCTCTTATCTGATCGTTTCCTAGGACTTTCCTAGGACATCCACATTTTCCATTACAGATGAGGATGTCTCTGGTGCAGTGTCATCATCTCCCATCTATATCCCCAGGGTGAATTACAACCCTGAACCCTTTGTTGTCATTTTAGGGCAAAAATGGGTAATACACCATCCCATCATTTTGGAATGGGAGATATATGAAGTAGATTTAGTCTGACCCAGCAGTGTTCTCATTAGCATGAGTTAGAAGTGAAAATCTAATGCTCTGAGACAGTCTTCTGCAAAGTATCAATTACAGGAAAGCAAAAACAATGAGAGACCTATTATTTTCATGGCCTATTTGTGAGTTATCCAGAGGCCTCTGGATGACTTCTATAGGAACACAGATGATATATTTGATGGGCCTTTGGTCTCGTCCACCAAGATTCTTCTTAAACGTTTATACCATAATTCCATCCAAGCCAACAAAAAGAATAAGAGACCTTTGGCGTAAAAATAGGGCTTTACAAGTCCCAATGAGTGTCAACAGTTTGTGAAACCAGGAGAGAAACAGTGACTAGTTCCAGAAATCAGAGTTGTGAACTATTTTATTGCTTGCCTAAAGGAGGCAACACCATCAAAGTTGGCCTTCCCAGTTCTCTCTCTCAAGTATAGACATGATTGCGCCTCCCTCTTCCACAGCATTTCACTTTGGATGGTAGCATCCAGAACCTCTCCTCAGGGACTCAATCCACATTTAGACTCCTCTGCTGATATTGAGCCTTCTATACGCCAGGCTCCTTGTCCAAGCTGTCTCCTAGACTTCCCATCCTTGTGCAGGGGACAAATTTGGCATCTTTCCTTTGTCCGAATTTTGCCTAAGCAACATCCTGCTTGGGTGAAGGAAACTCCTTAGTTTCTTACCACTGATTACCAATCCATGATCTCATTCTGAATTACCCAAGTTCATGTCTCCGTTTGGCTTATTTCCAAGTCTCTTCTGTATAGCATGAAGGAGGAATTTCTGTCATACACCAATCTATCCCAATAATCAGAAATTTGCAAGGACAAGACTTTATAGAATTTTCATATATTTCATCTCGTGAGATGATCAGGTGTTTGCATAAAACCCATAATTAGTAATGAAGGGAGGGAGGGCGAGATTTTGGAATTTTCTTAGGTATTTCTTTCAACTCCATACACCTAGAAGTCTCTCAGCTTTGTGAGTGGTTCCATTTCCCCCTTTAAATTCTTCCTTAAAATGTACAACCTCTTGACTTTTGTCCTGAAAGTGAAATTAACCGCAAAGATGTGGCACTGTTCCTTCCCATACATATCTCTTTCCTCATCCCTTATTTCCTTCTTCTCTCCTTTTTGATATAGGTTAGGAGCTGCAGATCCTTGGGCCAAATCCAGCCTTCGAAGGAGATTTTTGGAACAGATTACTTTAAATACTTTTGCCTAGTATTTAAATGGTAATATAGATTCCTTGGAAAAGTAGTTTAAACTATCATAAACAATGTTTTCATATCCTTTTATGTTTGTATGTATACTTTCCTTTCCCTTCCAATAACTAAGCCCTAAGTGGCTCAATGAACAATTTAATTGTATCATTAAATCATTACCAATCATTTAGCAATCCAAACCAAATTAAATAAAAAAAGAATTCAAGAGCTAGGAAGAATTAACCAATTAAATTAAGAATACAGCTATTCCAAACATTCAATTAAATCTTAAAGTACAAATGTTTGCATTATTAATGGAATAATAGACTATTGAAAGACAAAATATGACTAAACAGAAGATAAAGGATGACCTTGGAAAATACACCATAGCTTACCTTCTACAGCACGGCTGTCAAATTCCTGGCCCGCAGGCTGGATGCGTCCCGCACTGGCCACACCCAGGCCTGGTTTAGCGAAGGAGGGGGGGGAAGTCTGATATGTCACATGACACGGCCATGATGACGTGAGTTTGACACCCCTGTTCCTCAGCCTGACAGTGTTTCTCAACCTCAGCAACTTGTTGTGTAGACTTCAATTCCCAGCATTCCATACATCTTAAAGTTGTTGAGATTGGGAAAAATTAGTTTAAGTTAAAGGAGAGAGCCAAAGAGCTGGAAGGCAGGTATCGGTGAGATTTCCAAGTCTCCAGCTCTGTGAAACTCCAACCCCTCAGATTGCAAAACAGGAGCTTGGGGGTACAAGCATGTGAATCCAGGGATGCAATCTCCCTGAAGGAATAGTGCCAGGACTATGTGAAAAAATATTCCAAACCTGGCATGAACATAGATGGGGCCATTCCTTCCAATAAAGGAGTTTGTCAATACTAGTGGCATCCTATTGCCCTACCGTTAATTTTGACATGATATAGCCGTGATGGCGAACCTGTGGCACGCGTGCCACAGGTGGCACGCAGAGCCATATTAGTGGGCACGCCAGGTCAGCTCTGGGGCACATGCGCGTGCCGGCCAGCTGATTTTCAGGCCTTCTGGGCCCACCAGAAGTAGGGAAACAGGCTGTTTCCTGCCTCTGGAGGGCCTGGGGGTGGAGTGGGGAAGGCCCGTTTTTCTTTCTTACCTGGCTCCAGATCCTCTCTGTGTATCTGGGAATGGCGGAAACAGCCTTTCCCACTCCCTTGGAGGCCCTACGGAGGCTGAAAGGGCCCATTTCCCACTCCCGGTGGGATAGGAAGTGACGTTTTTTCCTGTCTCCAGCCTCCAGAGACTCCTAGAGAGGCTCCTAGAGACTCCTAGAGAGGCTCCTAGAGACTCCTAGAGAGGTTCTGGAGATTGGGGACAGCAAAAAATGTCACTTCCTGTCCCACCGAGAGTTGAGAAATGGGCCCTTTCAGCCTCCATAGGGCCTCCAAGGGAGTGGGAAAGGCTGTTTTCACCCTTCCCAGATACACAGAGAGGATCTGGAACCAGGTAAGAAAGAAAAACGGGCCTACCAGGCCATCATGTGCCAGGAGCGGGGGGGGAGGGGTTGCGCACACATGCGCGTGGGTGCGTGTGTGACCCTCCCCCGCCCCCCCTCTCCTGGAACGCGATGGCAAAAAGGTTAGCCATCACTGTGATATAGGAACATCTGTTTCCCATATTCTGTGGTGGATATTTCTGTCCTTTATGAGTCCTTCCCTGCCACTGCCTCAAAAGGGTATCTGTTTGCTTTCTCTGGATCTCCTCCAAGGGGATGAGGAATAATAAGGGGTCATTGACCCTACGCCATTGCCTTTGGATACACTACATGCAACTCTTCCCAAATAGACAATCTTAATTTACACTCAGGGCTTTTTCTAAGTAGTTGTTTGAGTCCTTGGCTCTTTCTCCCGAAGTTCTCAATCTACCTCATTCCTTCTGCGTGGCAAGTGTAAAGCTCATCAACATTCCAGTGTAATAAAGATTTGGGAGGTAGAGGGGGGAGGAAGGTACAGCAAGTACTTACATAGTTGGGAAAAACTACTTTGCTCGAGCTGAGCGCCAATACAAAACTTGGGAGTTCTTTGACAAACCAGCTGCAGGCAGAGCCTGGCTAAAAAGTTCTGGATCCCCATGATGTGTCCAGATGGGGCACTTGCTGGCAATTCCCCCTCGCTCTCCTGGCCAAGTTACCATGTTGGGTTTTTCGTACATGCCTAATCAACACTCATGCATGAGAGTTGATTTTTTTGTAATGCTTTCATGCTCCCTGAGCAGAACAGTGTTTCTGAATCTAGGGTCTCTGCGATGAGAGAATGCCGCCTCTAATAAGTATATATGCAGTAGTAGACATAGTGTATGGGCTGATCTTTATATTTATTTATTTAGTTAGTTAGTTAGTTTATTATATCCTATGAATTCTAGTTGTGCTCATATTGTTCTCCAATCTAGATTTTTTCCATTTTTTATTCCTACTTCATGTAGGGTAACTTTGGATATGAAAATAACTGTCTGAAGGTCATCCAGCAAACTTCAAATCTTGGTGTGGCCTTGAACCACGATCTCCTTGGAAGATACAGAGATTGGCTTTGTGTCAGGAACAGGGTAGAGCTCTCTATGGTTCTGTGTTGATGCTGCCCTGTAGATTAGCAGAAAGAACATTATAGCATAATCATGCACTGAAAATTTAGGAATGAACTGATTTTCTAATACTTATTAGAATTATTTTCTAATACTTCTAATCAGTTTTTTATTTTGTTTTGCAAAAAACAAACCTTAGTGGTTTTTATTGTACAGTATTCTATCATCTCTCTCCATCCATCCATCCATCCATCGTCATCCATCCATCCATCCATCCATCCATCCATCCATCCATCTATCATCCATCTATCATCTATCTATCTATCTATCTATCTATCTATCTATCTATCTTATATCTTTCTATCTATCTATCTATCTATCATCTATCTATCTATCTCTATCATCTATCTATCTATCTATCTCTATCACCTATCTATCTATCTAATCTATCTATCTATCTATCTATCTATCTATCTATCTATCTATCTATCTCTACCTACCTACCTATCTATCCATCCATCCATCCATCCATCCATCCCTTTTCTCTTCCAACCTTTTTGCACTTTCTATTTCTTCTTGTTTATATTCTCCTTAGTTTGTGTTTGGCTTTTGTCTTTATAAACTTCAATAAAAATATTATTAAAAAAAAGAGAGAGAAAAGGATTACATGACAGACTAAAGAGGAAAACAGTTCACTTTTAAATGAAGCCAATTTTATACCATAAGAGCTGCGGTTCCCAAACTGAGCACCACAGTACCACTGGGTGCAACAGATGACTCACAGGGGTGCCGCAGGATATTTTAAATTGGGACCTAACTACTTCATAAATGGAACAATTATGTATTTCTTTTGGCCTAAGGGCATCATGAATAAATTACTGAGACACAAAGAACACTGAGAATTGAGAAAGTTTGAGCACTTCTGCAATGGGAGCATTGTCTTTCGAACAGAGTTTCTGAGATTTTTTTTTAAAGCGAAGAGATTCTGCAGCCTGAATTAATGTAACAATCCTACTTTAAATAAAGAGCAATTAAACAGAACCAACTCTTATATACTGCAAAAACCTGACGAAAGACATATTCTAATTCCTTAGGTAAAATGTTTCTTTCAACTTTAGCCTAATTCTAGGAAAACTGATGACATGAATGTCTTCATCTCTTGGAGATATTTGGGGAAAAAAAGGGGTGGCAATAGAATTCACCTTTACCAGTTCTCTCTCTTTCCTTCCCTCTCCCTCTCTCTCCCCCTCTCCCTCTCCCTTCTGCTCTCTCTCTCATTTTATATGCTGCCCATCCTTTAGTGCTCTTGCAAGGAACATAAGCAGATTAGGCCTTGTCTGGAAAACTATATTAACATATCTCTTTGGAGCAGGGATAGGATTCATTTCATACCGAGTCAAAGATCTGAAGATGAGATCAGTAATACCACTAAAAAGCCCAAAGCAAGAAGACAACATTCCTATGAGAAGCAGATGGCTCTGATTCTCTTATTTTGTGTCTTGTGATTACAAGACATGCTCTGACTTTCTCTGTTGTTGGAGCACTGGAGAGCCAATAGTTAGTTCCAATGGAGTGTTGGTTTTAATTTGAAGGTTTAACCAGAAGAGCATTGGGAGCCTTTTGTATGGGGGCAATTGACTCAGCCCCCACATAAAGCAGCAGCTTCCAAACATGTTTTAGTATTTGAAATATTCAGATGGATCAAGATTTTTAATTCAAGGCTAGAAAATGAATCAGTTGAAACATGATCACAAACATTATTTCAGTACGTTGCGATTCCTCCCACACTCCCCTTTACTGGACCATTGACTTCAATGAGCAAAACATCATGGGGAAAAAAAAAGGGGGGGGGGAAATCCATTGGCTTAGATTGCAATGAAAGAGGTTTGCAAAGGAAAAAAAAATCTGCCCAATTCTCCTCCAGACATTTCAGAATTTTAAAAAGTGCCCTATTGACAATCTTGATAATTAAAATCAATAGGAATATCCTGTTATCCAAAGTATTGGGAGACAGAATATAAAATAGATTTTTAAATACTCAGGGAGTTAGCTAACTCTTTATGAGGCAACCACTTATTTATGTTTATATCTCAAGCAAGCAAGAATATGATCCTTCAGTGTGTTTTTTCTGCTTCCAGTTCACACCTTTAGGGTGTTATGTTTATCCATTGTGTTTATGTTGTGTTTTACCTTTTTTTTTTCTTTTTGTCCTTGATATTTATATTTATTGGATGTTCATGAATTGATGATTTATACTTTTATTTTATTTTTATTTGTTTATTTGTCAAGAACGTATTAGGTAATAAGCATAAACGTGGATTGGATACTTGATTTTAAAAGTTGCAGAGTTAAATCACCGAGTCTTGAGGGACAGAGTTGTTTTTGTCGAACAGCTTTAATGACCTTTTCCTTCTCAAAAATATTCCAGAAATTGCTATATGTAAAATAGTTATTTAAAAAAAAATCTAACAAGGGAGCAAGACCAAAAACTAACAAACAGCTAAGCAGCGGACAGCAAAGAAAATAAGCAGGGAAATTCAAAACTGGCACTCCCTCTGTTCCTGTCAAAAGTGCTTAGAAGCAGAATGGTTTTTGAACCTTTCTCCAAAAATAAGAATGAGAAGAAGTTGGATGAGGCTCTTCAGGGAAGGGAGTTATAAACTCTGGGTACCAACTTTTCAGAGAAGCAGCCCCTAAAGAGGAGAACTACAGGCAATGTGGGAAAAAAACTTCTTAATTGTTAGCCACACATTTATACCAATATACTGCTTAAAATAATGGACTAATCCTTTTGATTCTTTGCAATCCAAAAACACATTGGAACAAAATTATGACTCTAATTCTCACAGTCCATTTATTACAGCACAAAGTCATTTTCAACTATTTCTAAGATCTAGTCCAGGGGTCAGCAACCTGCGGCTCTGGAGCCGCATGTGGCTCTGTCACCTCTCTGCTGTGGCTCCCTAGCATTCAAAATATCACTCACAGCCGCCAATGTGCGACACTTGCCGGCACATGATTTATTGAGCTTTTTAACCCCAGGTAGGCCAACCATGGATAAATCCACGAAAAGAAAAGTTTCAGAAGAAAACAGAACAGAAGAAATTCAACTACATATGCTAGTTTTGTGGCCGCTCAAGAAATAGTCAGGCATGGGAAGGGTTTTGTGGCTCCCGGTGTTTTCTTTTCTGTGGGAAACAGGTCCAAATGGCTCTTTGAGTGTTTAAGGTTGCAGACCCCTGATCTAGTCAGAACTGAAGAAGCTTCTTGGATGAGAAGTGAAATGTTTTCAAGGAAAAACAAAGGAAGTGCAGTTGCCTTTTTAAAAAAAACACTTTTGGGACAACCATGACCTGGATGACTGAGAATCTCCATAGGCTATTTTTGAGATGTGACCTCACGGAGGTTACTCCATGCCTCTCCAAACTCCCAGTGAAGCACCTAGAACCATATTGAAGCAAGTATCAGAAAGAAACTCAACTAACCCTGCCTTGATAACATAGGACAGTGAAATGTGCAGAGGCTTTTGATATTAGAATATCCTACATTGCCTGCCTTGAAGGGCTAATAGATTTGGACAATCTCTGGCAAAGAAGGGTGATGGAATCAAATATAGTAATCTATCCAGTTGACACAGCAAGCCTGCAGGAATGCCCCAACACTTTTCCATTGTTGGGCCCTGCATTCCTATAGGTTTTAGCTTTGGATGTAAAAAAACATCAAAAACGTCATCAAAAAAGCACAGCAAAGAATGTTCTTTCTGCGCCAACTCAGGAAGCTCAAACTGCCCAAGGAGCTACTGATACAGTTCTACAGAGGAATTATTGAGTTTTGTCATCTGCACCTCTATAACTGTCTGGTTTGGTTTTGCAACCCAACAAGACAGACACAGACTTCAGAGGATAATTAGAACAACTATCGGTACCAACCTGCCTTCCATTGAGGACCTATATACTGCACAAGCCAAAAAGAGGGCTGTGAAAATACTTACAGGCCCCCCGCATCCTGGACATAAACTGTTTCAACTCCTACCCTCAAAATGACACTATAGAGCACTGCACAACTAGAGACAAGAACAGCTTTTTCCCTAACACCATCACTCTGCTAAACAAATAATTCCCTCAACACTGTCAAACTAGTTACTAAGTCCGCATTACTATTAATCTTTTCATCGTTCCTATCACCCATCTCCTCCCACTTATGATTGTATGACTGTAACTTATTGCTGTATCCTTACAATTTATATTGATTGCTTCCTAGTATGATTTGATTTCTTATTTGTACCCTATGACTACCATTAAATGTTGTACCTTATGATTCTTGACGAATGTATCTTTTCTTTTTATGTACACTGAGAGCATATGCACCAAAGACAAATTCCTTGTGTGTCCAATCACACTTGGTCAATAAACAATTCTATCTATCTATCTATCTATCTATCTATCTATCTATCTATCTATCTATCTAACATTAAGACTGTGGAATATTAAACTCCTAGGAGAGAAAAAACTGATTTCTAAAAAAATCATATTTGGTGTATGGATATATAAAATGTATGCAGGAGAGATTTTTTTAAAGTAGGGAAAGCACATCATACACACAAACACATACACACACAGCACAGCACAGCACAACACAACACAACACACAGAGAGAAATGTTAGGTAGGAGAGAGAAGCAGTTCTTTGCCTGACCAAAAAAATAATGCACAGAGAAGGTGGCTCCAGGAGGGAGAGGGCAGAGAGACAAGAGAGCCCTGGGAGTGCTTGTTAGGGATTCTCTCAATAACAAAAGCTGCTGCTCCTCCTATGAAAATTCAAAGGACCCACAACCTCTAGTAATAAAAGTCAAGGAGAACAGTGGAAAAAATGGGACTACAATTAAATATAAAGAAGGGAGAACAATCAACCAGTGGAACAGCTTGCCTTCAGAAGTTGTAGGGGCTTCATCACTGGAGGTTTTTAAGAAAAGACTGGACAGCGACCAGTCTGAAATGGTATAGGGTCTTAAGCAGGGTTGGGCTAGAAGACCTCCAAAGTCCCTTCCTGCTCTATTCTG